GGGGGCGTGGGGAGGTTCTGGGCCAGAATTTGTCGAGTGGGGGGCTCCAAGAACAGATTTCTCTCGGGGTGAGAATGCCAGACCAGGAAGGGGCCAGGTGGGGGGCGTGGGTAGGTTCTGGGTCAGAATCTGTCGAGTGAGGGGTCACAAGAACAGAGTTCTCTCGGGGTGAGAATTCCAGATCAGGAAGGGGCCAGGTGAAGGGCGTGGGTAGGTTATGGGCCAGAATTTGTCGAGTGGGGGAGTCCCAAGAACAGAGTTCTCTCGGGATGAGAATGCCAGGCCAGGAAGAGACCAGGTGAGGGCGTGGGTAGGTTCTGGGCCAGAATTTGTCGAGTAGGGGGTCCCAAGAACAGAGTTCCCAGGTGGCGGGCGTGGGTAGGGTCTGGCCAGAATTTGTCGAGTGGGGGGTCCCAAGAGCAGAGTTCTCTCGGAGTGGGAATGCCAGACCAGGAAAGGGCCAGGTGGGGGGCGCGGGTAGGTTCTGGGCCAGAATTTGTCGAGTGGGGGGTCTCAAGAGCAGAGTTCTCTCGGGGTGAGACTGGCAGACCAGGGAGGGGCCAGGTGAGGGGCGTGTGCAGGTTCTGGGCCAGAATCTGTCGAGTGGGGGGTCACAAGAACAGAGTTCTCTCGGAGTGAAGGAACCAGGTGGGGGGCGTGGATAGGTTCTGGGCCTGAATTTGTCGAGTGGGGGGGCTGAAATACAGAGTTATCTCGGGGTGAGAATGCCAGGCCAGGAAGGGGCCAGGTGGGGGGCGTGGGTAGGTTGAGGGCTAGGATTTGTCGAGTGGGGGGGTCCAAGAACCGAGTTCTCTCGGGGTGAGAATGCCAGGCCAGGAAGGGGCCAGGTGGAGGGCGTGGGTAGGTTCTGGGCCAGAATTTGTCGAGGGGGAGGTCCCAAGAACAGAGTTCTCTCGGGGTGAGAATGCCAGACCAGGAAGAGGCCAGGTGGGGGGGCGTGGGTAGGTTCAGGGCCAGGATTTGTCGAGTGGGGGGTCCCAAGAACGGAGTTCTCTCGGGGTGAGAATGCTAGACCAGGAAGGAGCAAGGTGGGGAACGCGGGTAAGTTCCGGGCCAGAATTTGTCGAGTGGAGTGTCCCAAGAAAAGAGTGCTGTCGGGGTGAGAATGCCAGACCAGGAAGGGGCCAGGTGGGGAGCGCGGGTAGGTTCTGGGCCAGAATTTGTCGAGTGGGGGGCTCCAAGAACAGAGTTCCCCCGGGGTGCGAATGGCAGACCAGGGAGGGGCCAGGTGAGGGGCGTGGGTAGGCTCTGGGCCAGAATCTGTCGAGTGTGGGGTCACAAGAACAGAGTTCTCTCGGAGTGAAGGAACCAGGTAGGGAGCGTGGATAGGTTCTGGGCCAGAATTTGTCGAGTGGGGGGTCTCAAATACAGAGTTATCTCGGGGAGAGAATGCCAGTCCAGGAAGGGGCCAGGTGGGGGGCGTGGGTAGGTTGAGGGCTAGGATTTGTCGAGTGGGGGGTCCCAAGAACCGAGTTCTCTCGGAGTGAGAATGCCAGGCCAGGAAGGGGCCAGGTGGGGAGCGTGGGTAGGTTCTGAGCCAGAATTCGTCGAGTGGGGGGTCGCAAGAACAGAGTTCTCTGGGGGTGAGAATGCCAGGCCAGGAAGGAGCCAGGTGGGGAGCGTGGGTAGGTTCTGGGCTAGAACTTGTCGAGTGGGGGGTGGGTGGTGGTCCCGGCGAGGGTCAGGGTTGGTCGGGGTCCCGGCGAGGATTTTGCTGAGTGGGAGGTTCTTCAAACCCACGAGAACCCTGGGCCCAGGGGATTCACGAGGCTCGGAGGGGGTCTCGGCGACGGTCAGGCGGGGTGGAGGTCCGGCGAGGATTTTGCTGAGTGGAAGGTCCGTCAAACCCAGGAGAACCCTGTGCCCAGAAGACCCAGGAGGCTCGGTGGAGGTCCTGGCGAGGGTCAGGCGTGGTGGGGGTCCCGGCGAGGATTTTGCTGAGTGGGGGGTCTTTCAAAAAACCCACGAGAACCCTGTGCCCAGGGGGCCCACGAGGCTCGGTGGGGGTCCCGGCGAGGGTCAGGCGTGGTGGGGGTCCCGGCGAGGATTTTGCTGAGTGCGCACTCCGTCAAACCCACGAGACCCTGTGCCCTGGGGACCCAGGAGGCTCGGTGGGGGTCCCGGCGAGGGTCAGGCGCGGTGGGAGGCGTGGAGATCCCTGTCGCGTAGGAGTAGTCTGCGTGCACAAGCGAGGCCGCACACGCCTCTGGGGTCGGCGGATTTTTTCTCTTTCTTCGTGCTGCAGTTTTTGTCGAGATCGCCCGCACCGCAGGTGTGCGCGCCCAGCCGCGCCCGACCCTACATGGTAGGACCCCGGCCGGTTTTGTTGCGCCCCCCTTCAGATATGTAATATGTTTTGATGCTCTCCTCCTCCCCCCCGCGTCTTTCTTTCGCTTCTGCTCGCGTGGACTTTTCAGTGCGAGCGCCGCCTACCAAGGTCGGTCTACGCACGCGCGAGCCTCATTAAAGGTCCTTCCCGGGCTCTGCTCTCCTCCCGTTCCCTCATTATCCCTCCTCCCCTACTCGCTCCTCCGGCCACCTCGCTGCGGCCCGATGTTGACTCGTTCCCTCATTTTGGCGTGGACCCTGCAGGGTAATCCACAGGTTCCGCCGCAGCTTGTTCAAGTTTGAGCGCTTCTCCTGCCCTGCCGATTTAGCTACCAAGGAGACGGCGGCAGGTTACTTGCGACCGGCTTTCCGGCATTCCTGGCGCAACGTCGTTCGGGAACATTGTCGATGGCCCCCCTCGCCGCTTTGCAGGTTGTGCCGGCCACGCGGCCAGAAACAAAAATAACCACACTCGTTTGGCGTATGCGGGGGCTGTGGTGCAAGCTGTCGTGACCAAAACCCTCACGGAAGAGGCGCCGTCGTGCCTGCTGTAGTGCTTGGCAGGTGTGTTGATGTTGAAAAAAAGACCAGGGCTGTTGCCTGTCTCCAAGGAGGCGGCTCGAGGGCCCGATGGCGCGAAGAGAATCACGCGTCGCGCATCGAAAGGCTCGATACGCGATGCGTGATGTCAGGTTCCGCGGGCGACTTATGTGCACCGCAGTGCGCTAGGAGGCCTTCTCAATCCTCGACCCGGGAATGGAGCGATGTGCAATCTTCCAGCCGTCAGAGCCGAACAATTATTTCCCGTTCTCCTCCTCTTCCTCCTCCTCCTCCTCCTCTTCTTGCTCCTCTTCCTCCTCCTCCTCCTGTTCCTCCTCCGCCGCCATTTCCTCCTCTCACTGGTTCTAGTCATCATCCTCTCCCTGCTGCTCCTCCTGCTCCTCCTGTTTCTCCTGCTCCTCCTGCTCCTACTCGTCCTCCTCCTCCTCCCCCAGCTCCTCCTCCTCCTCCTGCTTCTTCCGTAGCCATGTTGACTCAAGTCCGGAGCAAGGAGGCTCAGTGAAGTTGGGCGTGGCAAGGGGGAGGCGCGCCCCCACCTGCGAACCCTGAGCCCTGCGTTCAGGAACCCATACCTCACAGCTCCCTCGTGGGGCCCGTGTATTGTACTTTCTGGTGCCAACGGGCACGACGACGTTTCGGGCGAGCTCCTGCTGGAGCCCATGGGCAAGGCCGCGCAAGCCGCACATTATCTACCGTGCTCTGCGTGACGATACAGGTAGCACTGGAAGTCGAAGACCTTTTGCTTTCAGTGTGGCTCGACGCTGGGGCCCATGGAGTTGCCGTGGCGCGACACTGCCAAAGGCGCCTGGGCTGCACAATCGTTGTGGAAATCGATTATTGGAGAGGAAGCATGCTGCCAAATAGTTTCCAGATGTCTAAATCGTGGTTCGACCATGTTTTAAACATGTCAAAACATGTTTGGGACATTTTAGAACATATGTTTAAACATTTTTAACACATGTTGAACTAAATGATAGGATTGTTAGAGCGCCCATTGTCATGGCATCCACAACGCAATCGTTGGGGTCTCCGCCCAGCCAGGTGCCGCCCGCGTGTCCGCCTGGGCAGTGGCAGTGGGCGCCGCCAAGCCCGAGGGCGGGGCCACGCAGTCGCCTGGCGACATGGACGCGGCGGTCCTCCTGGCGCAGTTGCGCTTGCGACTGGGGGGCGACGCGTCGGCCGAGCTGCAGGCGCTGGGGGGCGCCACCGCGCCGCCAGCCCAGCCTGCGAAGCCTGCGAGGGCGCCGCTATTGGAGGAGAAGTTTCCGGCGAACGGGGCGGCATGCAGCAGGGCTGAAACGCAGGTTGAGGCGTGTGTCGCGCGAGAAGATGCAGAGCGCAGCTACCTCGAGGAGCGCAGTGCAGCCACAGCCGAGGCCGCCGTCGCGGCGTACGATGCCAAGCTCGAGTGTCAGGAGGAGCCCAAGCCTGAGTTGCTCAAGGTGTAGCGGAAACGGTCGGCTGATGGTGCGGCAGCCCCCGTCGGATCCCAGATCAACCTTTCCCAGGTGCTCAACGAGGAGGGCGAGATCGATGCATTCGATATAGTTGACGGGGAAACTTTGGATTTGTCTGACGCGGACGCCGAGGACGGCGAGAAGGCGAGGTGGCTTGAGCTCAAAGCCACGATGGGCAAGCCGATTCAGGAGGCCATCGCGGCCGCAATCGGGCTCAGCGCGGCGAACATCCACAAGTCACGGCAGGAGGCGCGGGCGATGCGAGCGCGGTTTTCTTTCAGGCGCCATCGCCGAGACGTCGAGGAAGAGAGCTCCCAGCCGGGCGGAGGCGCAGGAGCTTCAGCGCAGCCGGCAGCTCGGGCGCCCGCCAGCCAGGCAGGCGGTCAGCCAGCGGGCAGCGGGGCTGCTGCGGCCTCCCCTCCTGCTGGTCCCGCTGCAGATGGCGCCGCTGCAGGTGGAGGCCCAGGTGCGGCAGCCGTAGCAGCGCCCACTGCCCAGCGCGACCAGAAAGCCACCGACGGGATGATCCAGGTCGCCAGGGAAAGTGCATCGGCGAAGCAGTCCAGCGTCTGATGGGGATGGGCCGATGGGGCTTCCGCCGCCTGACGCGCTGCCGCCGCCGCCGCCCAACCCTGCCAGGGAGCGCGGGTTTTTGTTGGCCATGATGGCGGGCAGGAGTTCGCGGTGGATATGGAACCCGGGAGGCTTGGCGGACGTGGGCTTCCCTTCGTGGAAGGACTGGCGCGGGGTCTGGTTGATGGCGGTTTGTAGCAGCCCACGCAATTCTCGGCCTCGAGATAACTTCGCTCAGCTATACAATCCTTTGCGCAGGGGCGGCTCTGGAGGACCCATGAGCGATGCAGTGCGTGAGGCCTGCGCTGAAGCACGGGGACGGGGTCGCGGGGGTCGCCATGCCCTCCTGCTGCGCGCGCTCCCTCTCGCCGCCGAGGTGCGGGGGCAGTTCGCTGGGCGCCTTTGGTCGCAGCTGCGGCAGGTCACCAGCATGTTTCGGGCTCTGCTGGATCGGGGCCGCACGTGGAGACCTCAGGTTTTTGACGAGAAGCTGCAGGCGCGCCGATGCACGGCGCCGTTTTCGGGGCGCTCAGCCATCCCGCTGGGGCCCGCGAGCTTGGGGCCAGGGCAGATCCCGAAGGGGGAGTGCAGCGGGCTTGCGTGGACGGCCGCGCGCGCGCGGGTGGTCGACGCCCGCCCCCTTGCCCAGCCATTGTTCTGGGCCTCTCGCGAGAGGGTGGCCGATGCCCCAGTCCAGAGGCACCTCCCCTACTGAGGCTGGCTGGAGCTGGTCATGGCGGCGGGGCGAGAGGCTGCAGGCACGCCGATGCACCGCGCGCGTTTCGGGGCGCGCAGCCATCCCGCGGGGGCCCTCGAGCCGAGAGCCAGGGCAGATCCCGAAGGCGGAGTGCAGAGGGCATGGGTGGGCGGCCGCAGACGCGCGGGCGGTCGATGTCCGCCCCCGTGCCCGGCCGCTGGGCCGGGCCTCCCGCGAGAGGGCGGCCGATGCCCCAGTCCAGAGCGGCACCTCCCTTGCTGAGCCTGGCAGGAGTAGGGCTTCATCAAGGTGGCGTGCTACATCGTCGGGCTTCGTTTTTGCGGGCGCTGCTGAGACGCGCGGAGGCGCGGGCGCCGCGGGTCGATCCGCGCGGGAGATCGGCCCAACCACGCGCGAACCGCGGATCCCAAGGCGGCCCTCGCCGAATCCCCACGCCGCCATGGGGCAGGAGGTTGCAGGCTTTAGATCGCAAGTCCCGGCCTCCAGGTGCACCCGAGGGGTGAACGGCGCGAGGGGCTGTGCTCAGTCGCCCGCTGTTTTGCCAGGACCTGCCCCCAGGTGCACCCGCGAGTTAAACGGCGAGAGGGGCAGGGCGGCGTCGCCGAAGGCTACGGAGGCTGGCAATGCCGCGGTTGGAGCGCTGGGGGATCTGTCTGCTGCGGCGCCCGCGGGCCCTCCGAGCGCCGCGGGCCCCTGGGCCGCCGTCGGCGCGAGGCCGGGGGGTCGCGCCGTTGCGGGGGGGGCAGCGTGGGCGGGCCTGCAGTTGACAGGAGGGTCGGCGCGTTGGCCTGAGCGGGGCGGGGAGCAGCTCTGGGGGCGCCCTGCAGCCCCGCCCCCGAGCCGGGGGCAGCCGCGCGACCGCCCCACGCCGCAGCGCCAGGCCCAGGCGACGGAACCGACCAGCTCACAGTCTGCATTGCTTCTGGACGGAGAGACGGCGCTGCTTTCGGGGCGCCCAGCCATCCCGGGGGAGCCCTCGAGCTTCGTGCGAGGGCAGATCCCGAAGGGGGAGTGCAGCGGGCATGGGTGGGCGGCCGCAGACGCGCGGGCGGTCGATGTCCGCCCCCATGCCCAGCCTTTGGGTCGGGCCTCTCGCGAGAGGGCGGCCGATGCCCCATTCCAGAGAGGCACCGCCCCTGCTGAGGCTGCTGGTTCGGATGCGTTTGCGCTCGTGACGTATAATCCGACCGCTTGGGCGACAGGCTTGAAGTTCTTCGGGTGGGCCAAAGAGGTGAAGGAACAAGTCTATGGCGAGGTTCTATTTCAAAAGCATCGGCTTCGTCCTCTTCTTCACCAGCTGGCCGCGCCTCGGTCATGGGCAACGGGGGCAGGTTGCGCATCGTCGTCTGGGGCCGCGGTCATCAATCAGATTTCGTTCATTTCAACGCTTGGCGCGCGCGACTCTGGGCTTGGCTGGGGCAAACATTGATTTCTGAGGCCGCGTCAGTGAGGTGACAGCGTCGGCAGGGATCCTTTTCGTCGGGGGCGACGGGGACATTTCTGCCGAGTCTCTGCGGCAGGACCAGTGAATAGACCACGAGGGGGCCTGCGTTGTGCGGCCTGCAGGGTCGACGTGCCATGTCAACTGCTACGTTTTTAACTAACAGCGAAGACTGATAGGTTTCTAGTAGGGTCAACAGAGAGCACCTTGACTCCCCAGGGGGGTCCGGGCAGGATCCGGGGGGATGCCGGGGATATCGTTTTAAGCAAACAGTAACGCACTTCGTGGTCTTCGAGTTCCCAGAATTCCGCTCTTGGGCATGATTTTGAATGCCCGGAGCCAAATGTAGGCCACTTCGTGTTCTTCGTGTTCCCAGAACACCACTCCCGGGCCACATTTTGAACGCCCGGACCTAATTGTAGGTCGCTTTGTGTTCTTCGTGCTCCCAGAACACCATTCCCGGGCCACATTTTGAATGCCCGGAGCCAACTGTAGGCCACTTCGTGTTCTTCGTGTTCCCAGAACACTACTCCCGGGCCACATTTTGAATGCCCAGAGCCAACTGTAGGCCACTTCGTGTTCTTCGTGCTCCCAGAACACCACTCCCGGGCTACATTTTGATTGCCCGGAGCCAACTGTGAGGCTGAGGCTGAGGCAGGCTGAGGCTGAGGCAGGCTGAGATTGAGCCTGAGGCAGGCTGAGGCTGAGGCTGAGGCTGATGCAGGCTGAGGCTGAAAGGCTGACGCTGAGGCTGAGGCAGGCTGAGGCTGAGGCTGCGGCCGAGGCAGGCTGAGGCTGAGGGTGAGGCAAGCCGAGGCAGGCTGAGGCTGAGGCTGAGGCTGATGCAGGCTGAGGCTGAGGCTGTGGCTGTGGCTGAGGCTGAGGCAAGCTGCGGCTGAGGCAGGCTGAGGCTGAGGCTGATGAGGCTGATGCAGGCTGAGGCTGAGGCAGGCTGAGGCTGAGGCCGAGGCTGAAGGCAGACTGAGGCTGAGGCTGAAGCAGGCTGAGGCTGAGGCTGAGGCTGAGGCTGAGGCTGAGGCAGGCTGAGGCTGAGCTGAAGCTGGCTGAGGCTGAGGCTGAGGCAGGCTGAGGCTGAGGCTGAGGCTGAGGCTGGGCTGAGGCTGAGGCTGCAGGCAGGCTGCGGCTGAGGCTGAGGCAAGCCGAGGCTGAGGCTGAGGCCGAGGCAGGCTGAGGCTGAGGCCGAGGCAAGCCGAGGCTGGCTGAGGCTGAGGCCGAGGCAGAGGCAGGCTGAGCCTCAGGCTGTGGTTGAGGCTCTGAGGCTGAGGCTGAGGCAGGCTGAGGCTGAGGCAGGCTGAGGCTGAGGCTGAGGCAGGCTGAGACTGAGGCGAGGCAGGCTGAGGCTGAGGCTGCCTGAGGCAGGCTGAGGCTGAGGCTGAGGCCGAGGCAGGCTGAGGCTGAGGCCGAGGCAAGCCCAGGCAAGCCCAGGCAGGCTGAGGCTGAGGCTGAAGCTGAGGCAGGCTGAGGCTGAGGCTGTGGCTGAGGCTGAGGCAAGCTGCGGCTGAGGCAGGCTGAGGCTGAGGCTGATGCAGGCTGAGGCTGAGGCAGGCTGAGGCTGAGGCTGAGGCAAGTTGCGGCTGAGGCTGAGGCTGAGGCAGGCTGAGGCTGAGGCTGATGCAGGCTGAGGCTGAGAGGCTGACACTGAGGCCGAGGCAGGCTGAGGCTGAGGCTGAGGCAGGCTGAGGCTGAGGCTGAGGCCGAGGCAGGCTGAGGCTGAGGCCGAGGCAAGCCGAGGCAGGCTGAGGCTGAGGCTGAAGCTGAGGCAGGTCGAGGCTGAGGCTGTGGCTGAGGCTGAGGCAAGTTGCGGCTGAGGCAGGCTGAGGCTGAGGCTGATGCAGGCTGAGGCTGAGGCAGGCTGAGGCTGCGGCTGAGGCAGGCTGAGGCTGAGGCCGAGGCAGGCTGAGGCTGAGGCCGAGGCAAGCCGAGGCAGGCTGAGGCTGTGACTGCGAGAACAGCAGAATTCTACAATTGGATTCTCACCTAAATCTTAAGGGGGATGCTTCCAGAGATGCTTCTACACATCGCTGTTGGGTTGCTTTGCCGGGATAATGTGTTTGCGCCCTGCATGCGCGTGTCGTTTCTCTTCCGCAGCTGCGACGGGCTCGTCGACGCGCCCGCGGGCCCACGTTGCGCAGTGGTTCTGGCGCCCCATCACCTGGCTGGCCGGGCCAAGGCGTGGAAGCGAGTGGTGCCTCGAGCGCTTCCGCTGCCCAGGTCCTAGGAGGAGAGTGGAGTCATGGCTTCCTCTTGCTCCTGAAAGGGCCCTGATTTTTCGGGCGCGGGTCGCTGGGAGGCGGTGCCCAGGTGGTTCGATGCTGCCAATCGCGCACTTTGCGAGGCCCACGACATCCAGGACCCCAAGTGCTTGGGCAGGACCAGGGGTCGCCAGTTGCAGCTTGTGCCGCTCTGAGCTGTCCGGGGCCAAGTGCTAAATCTGCGCTCGAACGCACGCGCTCCGAGGCTGCGTTCGCTCCGCCGCCAAGCCACCCAGGGGAAGAGTTGCATCCGTGTAGCGGGCAGTCGGGGGCTCG